AGGTGCTAATCTGTATTAACCCCGGTAACTCTTTCAGGTGGTAATCTGTATTAACCCCAGTAACTCTTTCAGGTGCTAATCTGTATTAACCCCAGTCACTCTTTCAGGTGCTATCTGTATTAACCCCAGTAACTCTTTCAGGTGGGCACCAACCACTCCCCCACTACGGATACCCCACCAAGAGAGCACCAACCACAGCCCTATGAGCTACCTATGGCGACGCATGTCATTGAGCTGAGCCTCCTCCTTTTCCATGCTCGCAACAATGCGGTTCCGCTTCGCTAAGTAACTCTCTTCTACCTGTGGTAACTCGACTCAACAATCGACCAATCATTGTTACTTATCAAAGCGTAACCACATATTGTTGAGTTGAGTTACCACAGGTAGAAGAGAGTTACTCTCTTCTACCTGTGGTAACTCGACTCAAAAATTCAATTTGGCGGATCATTGTTGAGTTGAGTTACTGCTCTACCTGTGGCGAACGTCAAAGCAGACGATCACCCACCCCACACCATATGCACAGCTAGACAGACGGTAGGTTCACACCACCGTCAAAAGCGAGCAGAACTTAAAGTTTCAGGAAAGGAAGGAAAGGTCTTCCTCAGCCAGAACATACAGTGTCACTCCCATGAGTCCCATCCTCACGAGAATGGACAAGGAGCTGGGCGCACAAGGGACTGCTTTTGGTATTAAAAAAAAAGAAAAGAAAGAAAAGGACACTTAGTCTACACTCCAGGTGCTGGTACTAAGAGGCACAGAGCATTGATAACGACGATAATGGTGGCACTGTCTTTCATAGCCTTCTTTTTCGGCTCTGCTCCGTCTTCTGCCGAAGACAACCTACTACTGACTTCGCCAGAATACAACGCCTGGTCATTATCACAGTATGTAGACTGAAAGTTGGCCCAAATACAGGGGCAACTTCACCACCGGTACTACTAAGAGGCACAGAGGATGGCTTTGCCTACCGTCTTCACCCGAGGAGAACGTCCTGCTGTCGTTATTATACCTGTATTTGGGGCAACTTTCAGTCTACATACAGTGATGATGACCAGGCGTTGTATTCTGGTGAAGACAGTTACTGTAGTGATGGCCCCGACCACCGCCGCTCCAAACCCGGCTACTGAAATACTGCAGGGACCTACCTTCTTCACCCGAATACAATGTACGGTTATTATTGCCGTATCTAGACTCCAAGTTGGCCCAAATACAACTATAATGACCGTAGTTCCTTCAAGTTGTATTCCGGTGAAGACAGTCGCAAAGTTAAGTTGTCCAGCTGTGTATATCATCATTATCATGATAGAGAACAGTGTCGACGAGTGCTATTATGCTACGTATCATCAAAAAGAGATGCCCGGTACAACTTTTAGGCGGAGAGGGAGGGTGAAGTCTAAGAGGACAACAAAAGAGGGAGGGCTGTGACAAACAGTTTCGTCGGAGTTTCACCGACTCATCAACCAGTAGAGGCTGAACCCTCAACAGTCGGCAGAATCCCCTAACTGACTGATTGCATACTCAGTCTGTAAGTGATAATCCACCTTAACCCTGGTTGTGGTTAAGCATCAACGACTGCCCTACAAGTTCTACAACTGATACCCCTCTGAGGTGGTGGGGACCACCAACCACTGCCCTCAAGGTACCTGTGACGAAAAACAAAGCAGATTATCACTCACCCACAGCAGACGGAGAAGTCTACAGACTGTCGGTTCTCACCCCAGTATATATTTATGTATATAGTCACAGAGAACTGCCTAGGACCGTCTTCACCCGAATAGAACGCCCGGTAATTATCGCTGGCTGAAAGTTGTGCCAAATACAGCTATAATGACCGGGCGTTCTATTCAGCTGAAGACACTAGTCGAAGACTATAGGCATCCCAAAAGGGGGGAGGGCGGGGGGGGGAAGTACCCGAAAAGGGAGAGAGAAAAGCACGAAAACGGGGTATTGATTCGCGGGCCTCCTCCTTTTTTTTTTTTCTTTTTTTTTTAATTACAGATGATGTTGAACTTGAACGTGTGGTATTGATTCGCGCCTTTCACGAAAACGGGGTATTGATTCGCGGACCTTCTCTCAAGTTCTTTTTTTTAACTACTGATGATCCCAAAAGGGCAAAGTTGAACGTGCATATTCGCAAGGGAACACCCTTGATGATGCTGAAAACATGGTTGTGGAGGGGGGTGGTGACGTCGTTACGATTGTTGTGCTGGATAATTCGCGTAGAGGTCTGTCCGGTAGGCCTAATATCCTTACATTTGTAGATGATGAGGATGATAACGTTATGGGTGATTCGAAGGAAGACTGTGTTGAATCTACATTCAAGAGAAGAAAGAGATGTGGTGCGAAAACTAATCTTTTGGATTCCCCCAAAGTGTTGGAGCCTACCTTGGCAAACAATTGGGCGGGATGACAACCTGTTGTTGTTGAAACGGGAACTCAGATTATGAGAGCTCTGAAAGCGCACCCCGACGATGCACTTGCATCTCTTCCATTTTGTGCAGGGGCCATTGGACGTGCACGTGTTCGTGATTTGTGTTCGCAATCTCAACGCAGTGGACGCGAAAGAGATGTTTGCACCACATCGCAACCAAATAATCCTTTGGGGGTTGTTGTGGTGCCCGATGATCTCTGTGTTCGATTTTCGATTCAACGCAGTTTTCGCGTTGAATTCTCGTTGAATCCCGTTTAAACGCGCGTTAGACGCGAATAAACGGGGTCCGCAATGATTTTTTTCCTGGACTAAACATCATTAAAAACAAAAAAAAGGCTTGTAGGTCTTTTCGAGAACTACAACCTTATATTTTTTTTTATTTTTTTTTTAATGTTTGAGCAGGGTCACCAGCCCGTACGTACGGAGGTCCCCAGGCAGACCTCCGTACGTACAGGCGTTCGGGGTCCCGTACGGGGTTCGAACCCGACGGCGTTTGGCCCCCGCCAAAAATTATTTCGGGACCTAAAAATAATAATTGTTTTCTGAATTTGTTTTTGTGAGTTCTCTTTGACGTGAGGTACATGCCTGTAAATTTTCACGTCATTTGGCTAAGCCAAATAAGAATTAAAAATCGCCAAAGATGGCGGTGTCAAAACGTGCTCGCCCACATATTTTTTCACTTTTACTTTTTGTTTTCACTTTAGTTCGGGGTCTAAAACAATTTTATTATTTTTTGAAACTTTTTTAGTGGGTTTTGTATTATGTCAAGTAGATATCTGTAAATTTTCAGGGTATTTATCTATATGCCAAAAAAAAATGAAAAATCGCCAAAGATGATGGTGTCGAAAACATACTCGCACACTCACTAAATTTACTTCTCTTTTTGTTTTTATTTATTTTTATTATTAGTATTTGTTTTCCGTATTTTGTTTTCATTTCAAATTTGGTAAGGAATTCAGATGTAATGCTCAGGCAAATCTTGTTTAATTTATTTTTCTCCATAACATATTTTTTGTTCAGAGTTTTTTTAGGACTTTTTTTTTTTTTTTTTTTTTTTTGGTCCGCGTTCGGCTCGAACGGCTGAACGCATTCCCAAGGGATCCCATACGTTCGGGCATTCGGCC